GTGTGTGTGTGTGTGTGTGTGTGTGTGTGTGTGTGTGTGCAGGTTAGAGTGTTGTGCAAGCTCGTATATTCATGTATGCAAGGCAGCAATTGTGTCAGCCCACATCAGTACTGTGATGTAGATTTACACAGTCAGCAGTATGTACTTGTAATATTCATCTGCTTTGCTTCCTTTATCCCTGCAGTCTTTCTGGTTGTCCCATCGCTGCTGCAGAGAAGCTGTCTAAGAGCCACGATAAGCAGCATCTCTCTCAGTCAGGGAGCGAGCACCTCAAAGGAAGTCCCAATGACAGAGTGCTGAGGTGGGTCATCAAAAAAGTACAAACTCACAGTTCAGGTTTTTTCTGCTTTATTACATTACATACTGTAGATATGGAGCCCTAATGCCCTCACGAGAGGTCAGTTATACAAACCTGGCAGTTATTGACTTTATCTATTTGATAATTTAATTACAAGTTATTTGCATAGAAGGGAGCTTTTTGATTCCTATATTGATTAAAATTTTGTAATTAACTGTATTAACGTTGCACAGTTAAGGTTTATGTGGCAAAAAAATTCATGCCTTTTGTCCTTTTCCAAAGCCCATCATAGATGACACAATGAATAGCAGAAACTAAGATAGACTGGGCTCAGTGACCCTTTCACCTACATAAAAGCTGTCTCTTCCAATCCAAACCCCTCACAGCTGAGTCCTTGTCAAGGTTAGCCACTTTACTGCTGAGCCACATTGAAACCGCAGAGAGAATCCTGACCTTGGTTACGGTACCCTGCATGAAAGGTGGAGCCTGGCCTCTGAACGGCTCAATAATAACAAGAAAGTCTTGAAACATCCTGGCTGGCAGGCTAATCATTACTGTCACCTCACATGCTAAGATCTCTTTATCTACATTCATCTCACCCGACCGGCCAGATCCCGGCCAAAAGAATGATAATTAGTGCAAAGCAGACACTGGTATTATGCTGTCTGTGCTCTTCCTCATTGGTATTTTAATTAATAATGCAACCGATAAGCTAATTATGCAAGTTATAGGGGCATTGTGGGGGGATAGGAAAAATAATTGCTTTCCTTGAGGAAAACCTCATCAGTGGTTGGACAAAGCATCGAGTATTAAAACATAATAAGGCCTGCTTTGTTTTTCTGTTTTAGATTGTTATTCAAATGAGCTTCCTTGTCTCTTATATGTGGAGCTGCAGAATTCTTCATTTTAATGGAACGATGTTGAATTAATAAAATGGAAAAAAGTCACCTGTGATCAGTTGTAGCTCTGCTTTGCACACTTATTATTAGTGGGCTTCTATGTGATGGCCACCCCAGCTGCAGCAGTATGACTACAGGCCAGGTTTTGTAGACTATTAATGAAAAACACTGAGGAAAGGCTTCGGTGCAGAGGAGAATAAATAGGGCTGGGCGGAGGTGGGTGGAGGGCTTGGATAAGATGGTTAGGGGATGCAAAAAAAAAAAATGAGTAAGGTCACTTTGTTCCTCATGGTTCTATACCCCCAACCTACCCCTCCTCTGTCTCTCCTCTTTCACCACTCCCCCTTCTTTGGTTCCTAGTCTTCTCTTCTCCCCCTTCTCTCTTCTTTCTCACTCCCCACGCCCTTCCACCTCCCCCTGGTCTATCAGTGGATTTACGCCAACAGGTCTGACAAAAGCCCGGGCTCTCCAGAAAACGAGAGGGCTTAAAGCTCATAAATTCCGTGCTGTACAACATGCAAATGTGCCCTCTGCTGATAAGAGAGCTTTTAATCCTGCTGCACTCCCGCTAAGTACACCATTGCTCCTGTCTTCATTCTTTCTGTTTCATTCTACCTTTTTCTCTCATTCTTTTATTCTCTTTTTCTTCCCCCGTTTTGCTTTTGTGTGTGTGTGTCTTTTTATTGCATCAATCCTCTTTTTATTTCTCATCTCTTGTTTCTGCTTTTATTTTTGTCTTTAATCCCCAGCCCCACCCTGACGTCCTCTCCCTCTCCCCCCTGCAGACCCATGTGTTTTGTGAAGCAGCTAGAGGTGCCCCAGTATGGGAGCTACAGGCCCAACATGGCACCTTCCACACCTCGTGCCAACTTGGCCAAGGAGCTGGAGAAGTACTCCAAGGTGTCCTTCGATTATGCAAGCTTCGATGCTCAAGTGTTCGGGAAGCGCACGCTTGCTCCAAAGATGCCCACCAGCGAAACCTCACCTAAAGCCTTCAAAAGTAAGAGGGAACCTCGGGCTTCTTCTCTATCGTGCATATTTATTTATTTGTTTTTCTATAAGGTAAACCTGTGGCTAGGTTACAGCAGCCAGATTCACTGTGAGTTAGAGTCTTTGGTCAAAGCCATGTGAGCCACACAGAAAACTGAAGATCTGGGCCACGTTATTTACTAACCATTCACTCATTGCTATGTGAGATAGTGTGATATGTTCATTTGTGCTAATTCTTGCTCTCAGTGTTGGCCTTTCTAAGGCTCTTAAAAATGTTACTCCAGCATCGCTCTTTGGCTGACTTTTATTCTTCAAAATGAGTGAAAAGAAGAGAGAGACAAATGTTCAAATTTGAGTTACTGTTTCACTCAGTTTGCCATTTCTGTCCTGTCTGCATGCATAGCAGTGGCTGTGACTCAGTGGTGTGCGGTGACTTTTACAGAAAGGCAAGCAGAGACAATTGCCACACACAAACGAAAACATCTTCCTCTGCTATTTAACTTTATAACAAGATAAATTGGATCAGATTAAAATGTGCCATTTGTGCTGTCTGTCTGCACTCTGCGTGGACGTATTCTGCACTCCTTCATGGCTGAAGAATGGTAGCTGAATAAATATCTGCTGTTTTACCAAATGACAATGACAAGTGGTGGATACTCCTTTAAGAAAAGAACCAATAAAATCCAGTGAACGCACCTCAGTACACATAAAACTGCATTATTGGAAAACTGTGCATGAAGTAGCAAATTAAAAGATTATTATTCTGCAGAAAAATGTTCCTCGTCAGTATTGGATGGTTTAATATTACTTCTGCATATTTTTAAGGTTGAGCTCATTTTAAGTACTTTTCTATCTGTTTAATGTCTTGCATCATATTCTATAAATCATATGTTTGTATTGGCTGTCCTGTGAGGAAGATGTATTTCTGAAAAATACAGAAATGTAAGATGATTGATTGATTGATGATTGATCTTTATTTAATATATATTGAAATATATTAATTAAAAAAAAATCAGCTAAATTAAAATGCTTCAGCAGTGTGGGGCAGAAAATAATCATGAAAAATGAAGGTAGAGTGTTAGCAAAACACAAAGGTTCTCTTGAGCGCACATATTTTTTCAATCCCCTTTTGTTTTAGTACTTTCCCAGAATATCAGCCAATTTGGGATTTGTGCCTTTGTCCCCCTGCAGCTAAGCCGTCATTCCCCAAGTCATCATCACCTAGTCTCAGCCTCCACGGTTATGGGAAAAGCTCCTCATTGGCCTACGACTACGCCCATGATGCCGAAGCTGCTCACATGGCTGCCACTGCCATCCTTAACCTGTCTACTCGCTGCTGGGAGAAACCTGAGAACCTTAGCACCAAACCCCAAAACAAGGTAAACCCACCATTTTTTCAAATGTTTTTTTTCCCAGTTATTATAAAGGAGCACAGTTGGAATGAAAACAGCACAGTCGGTTTCATCATCACTTGGTAGTTCTTCGATGATCAAAAATGTACTCAATTTGAAGGGAGTCAAGTACAGATAGTTTTACTGTCGTAAAGTACTGCCTTGTTCTTCTCTGCAAAACACTTAGAGAAAGATTTTATTATCTGATTGTAGTGCAGATGAAACATTGCAGGCCACAGCTGGTAAGATGAGAGGAGATAGCAGTGGGTGTGCCTTTTCCACCCCTCTTCTCTCCTCTCCTCTCCTCTCGCTCATTTTTTTCTCCATCAACTCTGCATGAATATATCATCAGGAGGCATTGGTTTACAGCAACAGGATGGTGTTGAGATTCAGTTGCATCACCTCTCCCATCCTCTTTCATCGTTTCATCCCTCCATCCCACACACTTTTCATGTTGTTATTGAATTTGGCTGACTGCCAGTTGCCTGGATTACTTTTTCACCAGGTAGCCTTTTTTCATTATCTGCTGGACGGATCTCCCACTCTCTTTCTATCATTTTCTTTCTCACATGTCCTTTTACCCTCTTTCTCTCTTCCTCCCTAAGCAAGCCTCCCTGTTCCTCGCTCGTTCCCTATCTATACTTCTGTTTCTCACTCCCTCACTTCCTTTCTCTTTTCTGTGCACAGGAGGTGTAATAGGAGCTCCACTTTCCCCCATATTGTGATTTTTAAAAGCCTTTTTGCTTCACAGAGGAGAGAAAGTGACTGCTTCATCATTTTTCGATTTCTGACATGCTTTTAGGAAGATAAAAAGTGAAAATTAATGTCTCTGGCAGCAAAGCAGAGCAAGGTGTTCAGCAAGGCACAGATCCAAGAGCATGCCTTAGCTGCGCAGATCAACTGGGGACTGATCTGGAATCAGAGTTGGAGCCAGTTGAAATCCAATATTGAAACACTGGAACACTGAGCTCATCAACCTGGGACATTTCTGGGAACTGTTCCCATTTTCTCTCCTCTTCTCCTAACCCTTTGAATTTTCTGGCCCTTGACCAGCCCATATGAGCACCATTTTACATGAATGCTGAAAACATTGCTCTTTTCACCCTTCTGTTTCTCTTCACCTGCCAGAACTATAATAAAGCATGGAGAGATGGAGCACAGTGTTTGTGCTGTTGGCACCAGAGTACATTAGATATCATGACTAACATGCTTAGGCGATGAGGCTGGTGTTCTGAACTTGAGTGTGTAGTGCTCTGAAAGAGGCCGTCACTCTGGTGCATGACTGTGAAAATGCTTGTTTGATACAGGCTCGAGGGCAGTTTTACAAGCAGGTGGAGAAGCGAAAGCAACATTTCTCCACATGAAAGTTCAGTTTTTATTTAGAATATATGAAATTAGAATTCAGGCAGATATGTAGCGCTGCATCAGAATCTGCTCAAGAGGGTAATTAAAATAATCCCAATCATCATCACACAGGACTGCCTCACATATACAGTGAAGTGCACCAGAGGAGACTGCATTAGTTATTCACATTTGAGAATACTTAATTAGATGTATTAGTTAGCTGTGTTTCTCCATTAATTTTCTCCCAGATTATGCACTGAGCTCCAAAGTTTTTAACAGAAAAAAAGCATAATTGCATTCATATACAGAGTGAGCTGCAATAAAAAAATATATTTTAAAACTCAAGTTTCAAACAGGGCAAAAGTTTCAAATAATGACATGAATGTGTGTAAGACTAAGCTCTGTATGCCCAAAGCTCAATTAAATTCTACTGTAATGGTATCTCAGTGCAGATTTCAGCAGATAGTCTTCTATTTCGTGTGTAGTATACCCTCAAAGTGGGCATATGGGGATATTATTATTCATTATTCATTTAGTTACTTCACTGTCACTTGTCTAAAATTATTTATTTGTTGAAGTCTCAAATTGGGGCTCTACAACTGAAAATTACAAGGATACTTATAAGCAGGTAATAACATAGGCTCAGCTATAAATTCCTGTTGCATTGTCTCCAGGAAATGGACATTGAAGTGGATGAGAACGGCACCCTGGACCTGAGCATGAAAAAACCCATTAAACGAGAGGGAAGTCTGTCTGGGACGAGCCCCGGTGTTCGGTCTCCAGACCCTTCCTCCTCCTCTTCCTCGCTGCATCATGGTGGAAACAGCGGGATGACATCACCAAGCATACACACCTACAAGCAGGAGGACTGGGAGGGACCTCTGGATTACACCAAACCTAACCGTCAAAGAGAGGAGGAAATGGACGAGGTCAGTACAATTAGACAGAACAAAAGTACGAGCTCCAAACACGGTGCATTTCCTCAGATGTTACTCACAGAGGAGAGATTGCGACATAAATAACAACAGACAAAATTCCCCCTAAGCCTTTTGAATGAAAAACTCTTAATTGTTTACATCACTTTGTCTTTGTGTAATTCCCTTTTCTTATTCCCTGTTCCCTTTTCCTCTTTGTATTATTCATTTATTTCACTGAAATGTGAGAGTTACTGTACAGTTAAAACATTGCACTGTGTAACAGAGGTAGTGTGTCAGGTGCATTGCACCATCCTGGATTTGGCATATGCTAATTTTTACTCCTTTGAACTTTTTCAAAAGAAATATAAAGGGCCTTGAATGTTAATTTTTTATGAGGACACTCTGCATTTGGAAACATCACTTGTCTGCAAAAGAATAAAAGAGGATTGTGTGCACATGGTGTTTGCAAAGTTTCTTTGCTTGCATTCAGATATACAATAGCAAACTATTACCTGGAAGCAGATATTTTTAAAAAAACTAAATTCAGATAATAGGTCAAGCCACAATTTAAAGAGAAAAAGGCCTGCAGTGGATTTACCAGTGTGTTAATCACTTTTCAGATGGAGCATACCGGCCAGTCGTACGTCTCATCCGAACCAGAAGACTGTGACATGATGCAGGATTGCCTAGAGGAGAGGAAATACCCAGGAGAGGTCACAACCCCGAGCTTCAAGGTCAAATTTCAGCCCAAAGATAGCAAGAAGGAGTTGCTCTCGTAAGTAATAAGGCAATGAGTTAGAAGTCATTCTTATATCCTGATGGGTAACAAGATTATATGTGCTTAATTACATCCAACCCAGGTTAAGAAATAATCATAAAAAACTAATTTAAAGGAAATAGAAGAAGAAGATTTTATTAGACATGATGTTGAGATTTGGCTAAAAAATGAAAAAGTTTTCTCTTTATGTTAGTAGAGGGAATTGATACATACCCAACAATATCATAATATCTCAACTGAACTCAAGGTTAATTCAATTCAATTCACTTTTATTTATATGACAACAGTCACCTCAAGATGCTTTACATTGTAAGGTAGACCCTACTTTAATACATACAGAGGAAAAACCCCAACAATCATTAGACCCCCTATGAGCAAGCACTTTGGCAACATTGGGAAGGAAAAACTCCCTTTTAACAGGAAGAAACCTCCGGCAGAATCAGGCTCAGGGAGGGGCGGGACCATCTGCAGCAAACGGTTGGGGAGAGAAAAGGGAGACAGGATGAAATACATGCTCTGGAAGAGAGCCACAGATTAATAACAAGTATGATTCAATGCAGAGAGGTCTATTAACACATAGTGAGTGAGAAAGATGACTGAGGAAGACATACTCAATGTATCATAATTGCAGCATAACTAAGGGAAGAGTCAGGGTTCAGTTACAGTATTACTGTGATTTTTAACATTTTGCATCCTGATTACTGAAATAACATCACCTAATTTATCACCTTTTTAAAACTACAAAATATTCCCTCAAATTTACACTTTGTCAATATCTGTTTTATTCAATATGTTTTTTCTTTTTGCAGCAAAACAACACTGTCACTAAAACCTGCCATAAATTGTGTTATAAGAGTCAGTCTGTTATCAGTCTGCTACCAGTTTGCAGTTGAATGAGGTCAAGTTGGCAATTACATGAAATCTGTTTTTGATAAAACAGCAATTAACTGTGATAAATCACATATCCATTTGCTGTCTAAATAGACAGAAATTCACATTTAACTGTAATGTTTGTGCTCAGCAATCTTTCTGTTTCGTAGGAATATAACCAGAACAAAACCAGAGTCGAGGCCCCTCACGTTGTGTTCATTGATAGACTCATTCAGACCGATAGCAACATGCTGGCAATCTGTCTGAATTTATAAATGTATACATTTGATAGCAGTTATTTGCAAATCTTTGACAATCTCTCTGAGAGTGATTGCAGACTGCTTGTAGAAATGTAGCCTCCTATCAGGCAACCTGTGCAATCCAATCACCTTGCAATCAACACCCTCAAGCCATCACCGTGAGTTGCAACTGATCACCAAACGTGACAAAATTCACTATAGTCACAAGTCACTGATCTTTTTTGTAGATGCACAAAGGTTGATGTTGTATTTTTACTCGTGTGACTAAAACTATAAACTTGCACTTCATTATGAGGTAGCTTTGTCAAGCTAAGTGGTGGTTTTCGGTTTTAACATATCTTCACATTTAATCAGCACTCTTGTTCATAGTGCTCCCATGGTATTTTAATTAATTTCATAAAAAATATCAATGTTTAGTGTTCCTATATTGATACTGTGCTGTAGTGATTTTTTTTGCCATCCCTACAGTTCAGTACAAAGATCAGTGAAAAGGGATGTAGAAAAAGACGTCCTTTTAGTTCTAAATAAAAGTTAAAGAAGAGATTTCTGTTGACTAGCAGAACTTTCTCATGTTGAGCCAGTAATACTCACCACTATACCACCGTTCTGACGTCCAGAGGCTCGCACAAAAAAGCTTGCAATTTATATATATATATATATATATTTATATACATATAGAGAGAGAATGTTGCGTGATAGTCTGGCCACAATCCTTTGTTAATCAATTATTAAAGTTAGAACACACAGACACATGCATTTGCTCTGGAAAAAACAAACAACCTGCTCGGTATGATGTAGAAATCTACTAAACATTGACTCTTGAACCACATGTAACCCTGTTTTAGCATGTACCATCCTGAAAAGATGACTTTTCATATTGCAATTTTCAACCACATTTAGATGTTCTGTGGATGTGAGTTTAAGGCCATGACCAGCCAACCGGGATAAAAAAACATCCCTGAACGTCTGGTGCTTTGTGAGAAGGGTAGTGACACTCTGATCGTTCCATCAGAGTGTGTACAAATGTACTACCCCCAGGTATTTATAGAAACCTTACAACTAACGACCTTCTATGTAAACTCTATGTACATATTTGCCGTGAATATAGACAGGTGTATGGTCAGTCTCTGTTTTTCCTTTATAAAAAATAACTTTGTACATCTAATCCCTAAAGCTGTCGCTCTCTCCTTCTGCCACTGCTAACTGCGTGTCTGTCCCCTCTGCAGGTGTCCAACACCTGGCTGTGATGGCAGCGGCCACATCACTGGGAACTATGCGTCGCATCGCAGGTATGTAGGCTTATTCGGGCGCTAGTGTGCACTGCTGCTTTCTATATAAACTTGTACATGAAATGTTAGATCTACTGAGACTCTCCCTCTGCTTCTCACTCCAAAGTCGGCACACCGAGACTAATTCAAACATTTTATTTGATCCTGACATGCCAGAGGCAATAATGTAGCGTGAGCCCAGGAAGCAAAGACGGTCATTGACTTTGATATGCATCAGTAATTTACTTCTTGCTGTCTGTCCTCTTCTTGCTAAATGACCTTGGTATGCCTTGCATTCTTGATTTCCCTTTACTCACATCTTTCTCCTCTCTCCTTTCAACCCCCTCTCACCCCTTGCTTCCCCCCTTTTCGTCCTTCTCTTCCCCTGCCTGTCTTTTCTCTCTCAGTCTGTCTGGGTGTCCTCTCGCTGATAAGAGCCTTCGGTCCCTCATGGCGGCCCACACCCCTGAACTCAAGTATGTCTGCTCTACACCTTTACTGCCTTTTCGCTGCCACTTCAGCTCATTGCTACTGACACTGTCCAGCACCACAGCACTTCATTCTGCTGACGTTAACTTATCTATTGTTGCTGGCTGCTTTCTGTGCTACCGCTGCATCTGTCATGGTGGTTTTTCCTATGTCTGTGCTTGCTTTCACTTCAATTACTTCATGTAAATGTGAATGAAACTTACAAAGGCTTTTCACAGCTGAACATGTACAGATACCGGGTGTGTTCGAATGGCAACGAGCCTGGAAAGCTAGAATAACTATAGCACGGTGAAATCAGACCTTACAATACAATACAAAATGCAAATTATCAATGTAATTGATAAATACTGAAACAGGTAATAAATCAATTATAACACAGTTATACAATTATACACAGGTAAGCTGAAAAACAGCTGACAAATATTTAAAAAAAAAAAAATTGTAGATCTATAAAATCCTAAAATCCGTTGTAATACAAATATAAGGTGTAAATGGCTGGCCAGGATTGGGATGATATGTGTTCAATGATGATCACTAAGAACTAAACCAGAGTCCAGAGAGAGTTTTTTGTGTGCGTATCAGAAAGGAGGGAACTGAAGCCTAGAAGGGCAAAAAAGCATTTTGACCATGTGCCTTATTTGAAAGATAGGACTAGACAAGATCTTTGGTGTTTGACTGAAATAGTCACTTAGATGAGCTACGGAAAAGACATTTCTCCCACTGAAAACACTATTAACAGAAGCAACTTCTTGGTCATTACAATTACATTTATATAGCACCACTTCACAGCAAGTGTTCATTATTATTGTAAAGTAAAGACAACAACAATAATAATAATAATGAAAGATTAGACAGAGAACCTCAAAGATCAGACAACTATGTGTAAGCACAAACAGTGGGGAAGAAGAATTCCCTTTTAACATGAAGACGCCTCGGGCAGACCCGGTCTGAAGGGGCGAGTCGAAAGAGAAGAGAGAAAAGAGGGGCGTTGATGTGTGGTTCTGAAACTATACTCTTCCACGTTAGCAGATTAGGTCACTTTTAGAATGAAAGTTGGATTGCAATGATTTCTGATTTTGTGAGGCACAGTTGAGAAAGCTGTGTGCCATTCATGAGCTGACGGTACCAAGGGAGTCTAAAACAACAGCTAGACTTTTAGTGTCTCAAAGTTTCAAGGGTGGGTGAATCTGGGAGACACCTCTCTCAGCCCCTCCCTCAGCTTGGTTCTGCCAGAGGTTTCTTCCTGTTAAAAGGGAGTTTTTCCTTCTCACTGTTGCCAAAGTGTTTGCACACAGGGGGCCATCTGATTGATGTGGTTTTGCTGTACTGTTGTAGGGCCTTACAATATTAAGGGCCTTGAGGTGACTATTGTTGTGATTTGGCAGTATATCAATAAAACGGAACTGAATTGAATATACACATTGTGATCATTTGTTTAAGATTAAGCAGATAAATAGTAAACCTCAGTTTTCCCTGTGTTAATTTTTTCTGCCTAACTTTGAACATTGCTTTGTTTTTTCCCTAGATGCCCCACTCCCGGATGTGACGGCTCAGGTCACATCACAGGAAACTATGCGTCACACAGAAGGTAACAGAACACAAATGCGCGTGCACACACACACACACACACACACACATACACAAACATACATATGTATAGCCAGTCAGAGAGGCCTAGCGACAGTTCACGATAGATTAGACAGGCACCACATACACATAATCCTATTTTCATCCATATTAGGCGTTTTCAATGGATTTGGTTTGTCATTTGGTTGAAGAACCTCTGTAAAATTATTCTTCCTTACCATGTTCTCTTCCTTTATTAAGTAATCACTTCACCAGACCTTTTCTTTCCAGCCCTATGTTATCAACTCCATACTTTCTGTTTTCAGTCTCTCTGGGTGCCCGCGTGCCAAGAAAAGTGGAATTAAAACTCCTGCCAAGGACAACCAGGAGGACTCCGAGCTTTTAAAGTTCGTACCGCTCAGAAAGTCATAACGTCTGCTTTTAGCATGACTGACGGTAAAACTAAAATGCAATAAAGGAAAGAGAGAGCAAGAGAGAGAGAGACAGAGAAAGAAAGAGAGGAAAGTCACTGTGAATCATATGCAGAGGTAGTGATCTGTCCCCGTAACTGAATCAACTTACTCATGGGAAAATACACTTACTGCAGATACTGATTCTGAATATAATTCATGGTAGACTATTGCAGAGTACATTGTTATTACATAAGAAATACATGGGCTTCATATTGCACACAAAACTGTTAATATAACAGTATGTGGGGAAAGCATGTACCAAATTGTAATAGCTCATTTGTCAGCAATATCTTGCATTGTAATAATATGTCCAATACAGAATTTAGCAAAACTGCTAAAAACCTTTCAGTTTTTAAGATAAGAATTATCTTCGTTTTCGCTTTACTTTCATTTTTGCATTCTCCTTGTCTAACCTTTGTGCCCCGTCATTCTCTTTCTTTCCGTATCTGCTTCCTATCTTCCATACTTTTTCTTCTCCTTCTCCTCTCTTCTTCTTCTTACCACCTCTGCTCTCTGCAGATGTCCGGTGCCGGGCTGTGACAGCCTGGGCCACATCAGTGGAAAGTACGCCACACATCGTAGCGCTTACGGGTGCCCGCTGGCGGCCCGTAGACAAAAGGAGGGTCTTCTGAATGGCACGCCATTCAACTGGAAGGCCTTCAAGACAGAGGGTCCAACCTGCCCCACCCCAGGTTGTGATGGCTCTGGACATGCTAACGGAAGTTTCCTCACACACCGCAGGTAAGCTTAGGCTTTGATCAGTATCTTCAAATTTGAAACAAATCGATTAAATGAGGAATTCAGATTTTATAAAATGCAGCCAACGGCTAAGTATCTCTGAATCTCTCTTTTTTAATGTGTGGATATTTTAGTTATTTAGTTATCTCTTTTAAAAATTTGTCACAAATGCTAAAATGTAAAGCTTCAGTTTGATACTATATTTTTAAATCGCTATGTCTGACCAAAAAAATTATACGCAAATCTCTGTAAACACCCCATAAGTTGGTCATTTTTAACTGATCTAGGCGAACGTAGTCAAGTCTTTATTCTAAGTTAAGCTAATTTACAGCTTGATAGTTAAAGATGAGCATTTGAACACTTTGGAAATCTTTCTTTGCTTTGCCGAGAGTTAAATAAGAATATTGAGATGTTTTCACCATGTGTTAAATAGTCTGTCTTGCCGCTTCCAGTTATTTTTCTAGGCTAAGCTTTTCCTCCATAGCAGCAGT